CTAGCCTCTCCTTGGGGGCTGCTGTTCTACTCCCATAAGGAATTGGTCTCGGATCCCGACTGGGACAGTTCTAGCCTCTCCTCGGGGGCTGCTGTGAGCGAGTCAGCAGTGACTGGATTGGCAGTGAGTTTGGTTGGAACACATGGCTGGAACTGCCTCTTTGGTGACGCGTGCCCTGTTAGCTGGTGTGGATGATTTCCTGCGTCATATACCCCATCGGGCGGCACGTTCCCCACCCCTGCCTTAGAGCAGTGTTCGGTGTTTCCTCTGTCGGTGTGCACAATGGCTTTACACTGAAAGTGAAAGTCCCGATAGCCCCGATAGGCCAGGCCCTCAGTCCGTGTTGACTGAGCAGTATTGTTGGGTGTACGACGGCTGGGCTTGGCGGGCGCTTTGAATGATGCCTTCACCGCCCAGGTTATCAACTCCAACTGGGAACTTACAAGCGTGTGAAACTTTCTCAGTCTTCCTCTGTCGTGGCTGTTATTTTTGGTGGCTCTCGTTCCTGCACGGAACTCTTAGGTGGTTGGGTGGTGGGGTGGGGGGTGTTGGGTGAGATTTGAGCATGAAAAGTGTCAGTAATTCCCTCATCACCTCAAAAAGGTGATAACTACCAGATAGAAGGGGCTGTGTTGTCCGACCAGGCAGCTTTTGGCTGCCTATTGGTTTAAATGGACTTCACGTTTCAAAGCCGCTTGGAATCTGCAGAAATGTGTGATAAGTTGTAAATGCACCTTTAACTCGTCGTGGTCTGTTTTTGCCCTTTCTCTACAGACGTCGCCTCATCTCCCAGAGGTCGTCCTTGGAGACGCTGGAGGACATTGAAGAGAACGCCCCTCTACGGAGGTAAGTGTTCCCTGTTGCATTTACGAATGTGCAGGTGGCGTGCCATACGGGGTGGTGGCCACAGTCTGATTAAGAAAGAAGTTCTTGATGTGCAGGATTAAGCTGCTCCCAGGGGACCGTGGCTCATACGCCTAGTTTAGAACCCCAGCTCTGAGCATCTTTAGGAATGGAAACCTAGTCACTCTGTATTATTAATTGCTATTGTTGGCTACCATTGAGTCAGATCTCGACGGATGGCCACTCCGTGCCCAGTAAGGAATTCACAGGGGCACAGGGTCGCTGTGAGTTGGCATCAACTTCAGGGCAGTGAGGGTGGTCCCCCCCACCCCCTGCACCCTCCCCTCCCTACCTGGTTTTCTCTTTTTATTGCCCTGTTTTGAAAGCTGCCAGCTCAGGACAGAAGAGGCCCTTGTATTCTCAGCTCTCTCCCCAGAAACAGGCTTGTCATTAGACTTCTCTGTCGGCGTCAGGGACACCAGTACTTAGGAGCTGGCCACGAGGACTCTCGGAGCTCGCTGCAGAGCCAGTGTGCCCAGGGCCTTTGAGTTTGTTGTGTCTGAGCAGACTCCTAGCCCGTTCCCTCTCAGGTTAGGGACCTGCTGGCAGGGCAGCTTTCTGGTGACATAATTGCTGAGCTAGTCACTGTCTCCACCTGGCAGATGTTCCCCCTCCGCCTTGGGGCTCTCCTGACCCTCATTTGCACCACCAGCCGGCCAGCCCTTCCTCGAGTGGAGAAAAACACAATCACCTACGTGATCTCCTGGAATCCTCACCTGGGGTGGGGTGGGGGGCTGCTTCCTGCTGCAGAAGGGGCTGAGAGTGGGAAGGCGGTGGCTCTCCTGGTGTGTGGGCAAGCAGCTGTGAGTAGGGCCCTCTGAGCCCTCTGTGCCCAGTGCCTTTGTATCAGCTCTTCTGCAGCCCACACACTGAGGCTGCCCGTGAGGACGCAGGCTCCGCTCCTTCTTTGAGTCTAGGCAGGGCTGACATGGAAGGTGGAGTCTGGGGAGAGAAGTTGTGCTTTGGCTGGAGCTCAGTCCTAGGTCAGATAGGTGTTGCCCACAGGCTGCAGCACCAGGGGAATGGGGAGCTGAAGCAACCGTCCTCGTCCTAGAAAACAGTCCTTTGGGCAGCCTGACTGGGGGCATGGGCGGGGCGGGACACCTAAGTTTCATCACTGACATTATTCCAAAGAGAAAGACCATCCCAGACAGCGACATGTCCGCCGTTGACGACGTCCCACGTGTATTTTGAGAACATATGCATTCAGTGTTCCGGTTCCTGTCTTCTGTGCAGGAGACTCAGGGTCAGCTTCCGCCTGCCTACCCAGGGAGGTATGCACCTAGGTTGTAGCAGACCTTGCAGCCTAAGGAAGGCCTGGCAATCCACTTCCTAAACTTGGCCAGTGAGACCGCAATGGGCCAGGGGAGAGGGAACGCGGGTGTTAACGTCGTGAGAGGGAGGGTGCTGTCTAATGAGAGAGGGGTGAGGCCAGGCAAGCTAGTAGGAGGGTTGATATGTTGTTGAAATTATAGAGTAAAAATATGATGATCTGATATATAAATCATAAATTTTAAAGTTGGTTTTTTTAAGCACCCTATGAATCATAACCTTCTAAGTCACTACCAGTCATGAGGACTGAGTTCCTGGGGTTAAGAGTCGGGGGCTGACTCAATGGCAGATAACCACAGCAGCATACACCCCCTGGGACCACTTAGTGGGGGGGGGGGGGGCAGCCAGCATGGATGTGCTGATGGCATGGCTTGGGTCTTGACCCAAACTCACTGGCATCGAGTCAATTCTGACTCACAGTGACCAAGAGCCCTTGTGCCTTAAAGGGTTACATTTGGGACTACTAATCAGAAGGTCACTAGTTCGAAACCACCAGCCGCTCCTCAGAAGAAAGAGGAGGCTTTCTACTCCTGTAAAGAGTTACAGTCTTGGTAACCCACAGGGGCGGTTCTATCCTGTCCTATAGGGTTGCTATGGCAATGGGTTGGGCACAAGTGTTGTATTAGTCACTGTTCAATGTTGGGAGCAGACTTTCTCCCTGCTCTGCCAGTCAGTTGGCAGGAGTCAGACAAACAGTTGCATTAAAAATCAAAATAGGGAGTTGGCTTGGATCCAGAGTAACCAGTTCAGGTTCTCTGCCGGCAGCATGTGGCTTTGGTATTAGAGCAGGTAAGGTCATGTTCTGACTAATTCTCTCCCTCATCCCTGCCACAAACAGGAAAGTCAATAAATAAAACTCAAAAGCCCTAGGTGTGTCAAGAGGCTGCTAGAAGCCAGTCATTTGAGCAGTGCAGTAACTGAGCAGGAGGAAAGCAGGTGAGCAGAGTACAGGCTAGGAAATGCTATTCCCACCTCGGGGAATCCACAACAGGCCTTTTGCGCGCAGAAAGCAGGTACTTGTCTTTCGGAGGCAGGTAAGGAGTGGCCCAAGCTGTTTTTCTGATTAGTGAGGGTCCTGTGATCTCTGTGGCCCAGACTGGTCTCTGCCTCTCCATTTCTAAACTGATGATCCGAGTGAATGGCATATAAAAGTTTCAGCTCTCTTGTGATGAATTCATCCAAATCATACTTACAACCCCAAAATACCCAGCAACCTACAAAGCACAATCAAAGTAATGGCTACCAAGAGATGAAATGGTCCAGTCAAAGCACAAGCACGTTGGTCCAAGAGCAAAGGGCATGGTAGATGGTGTTTTGAGATGTTCAAGGCATTTTGCTTGTTGACATTCTGGAGAGACAAAGAAGGATAACACCTGCTTTTAGGTGAGTGTTTTTAAGGCAGTCAAAGCTTTAGCAGATAAACACCTGGAAAAGCTTCCCCCGAGTCCTTCTTCCCAGAAATGCCCCTACTCACTCTCAAACCAGGGACATTTGGTCAGATTTCTATGGGAAATCATTAGGCATCCTTATTTACAGCCCTGCTTTGGCTCGTTTGAACTCTTTTTAAGAAGCCCTGGTGTAGTGGTTATGGTTTGGGCTTCTAACCACAAGATCGGCATTTCAAAACCACCAGCCAGCTCCGAGGGAGAAAGATGAACGAGACTTTCTGTTCTCCTAAGGAGTTAGTCTCAAATACTCACAGGGACAGTTCCACCCTGTCCTGTGAAGTCACTATGAGTCAGCGTCGACTCAGTGGCAGCGAGTGGGATTTCTTTTGGTTTCTAAATCTTAAAAACAACTTTTAAGGCCACCCATTTCTCTTGGATTCATAATATAAGAGAGATTGCATTGCGTGCATAAGTGCCCAGGACCCTCTTTAGACATGGACTAGATGGCTGCTATCATTCCTTATGCAAGTGCCTTAGCGTTGATTGAGTTTATATCTCTATTTTTTATTTTCAGCTTTTCATTCCATTTTCCACACACTTTTTGAAGTCTCCCTCATATTTATTTAGAAACATATTGTTGCTAGGGAATGAAATGAGCGTGATAAGGGGGGAGGATATTAGTTTGGGAATTCTTGCCCGAACTCTTCTACTCACTAGTTAGGTAGCCGTGGAATGTTCACTTAGCCTCTCTGCGTCCTTGGCTCGCCCGTCTGTAAAATGGGAAAGCCTGAATTGATCTCTGGAGTCCTTTCCAGCTCTGTGATTCTGCCAAATGGAAGTTCCAATAATGACACTTACGTGTTTTGGGAAGTGTGGGGGTGGAAGGCGATCAGCCAAACTTGCTTTTAAACTGAGCGCTTTGAACCAGTGTCTCCAAGGCATCTATTAAAAACCTTTTGCATAATTAAGTATGCCCTGTAATCTGTGCTGAAGCCACTCGGAGGCAGTGGGTTTGGTTGGGTAATCAGTGCTAACAAGGAAAAGCTAATCTTTCATTAAATTAGTTTTTAATTTGATTCCATCCTAATTTAATTTTGCATCACTTAGCATGTATGTTTGCAAATGCATATTTACACATCACTGCAGGAGGCTTTGAGATTAATTTGTTCTTTGCTTACCCTGCCACAACCTGAGCACTCAATATCCCGGTTTCCTTGGCGATTGTTGCTAACATCATAATGTTCTTAGAGCAGTTCTGAGATTCCCCAGAGGTTTTATTTCAATGCTGGGGAGAAAAACACACAAAACCGCCAACAACTTACTGACTGAAGGGGTAGGGTGTGCACTTATGAAATCGAGGGCCCATACGAAAATAAAGGACCTTTGTTAGATTCCTTTTGAAGGGCGGGCGTTACTCTCGCACATCGTGGTTAGCTGGTTGGTTGGTTTTCCCGGCACCCAGCCTGCAATTCAGTAATTGAGCCTGCTTAGACTGGGGGGTTTTGCACTGCCCTGGATCTAAGGAGTTAGGACGTCGCAGTGTCCACTAAACCTGTGGCTGGTCCAAGTGCGGCAGAGGGGGTCAGCCCTGGGTGTTCCCCCTATCTGGGTGAATCGCAGCTGGCGGCTGCAGCTGTTAAAGTGATTACTGCCTCGACTGGACTCCTTCCCCGCTGGCACGGACACCTGTGGTCCTCTAGCCGGAGGACCCAGACCCAGCAGGAAGCAGAGGCACTTCCAGCTGAGGGCAACACCAGCTCTTTCGGAAGTGCCAGGAGGCGGCGAGTGTCTGAAGGTTGTCCCTTCCGCTTTCTGGGGAAAGTGCCAGAGTTTGCCAAGGCAGCAGTGTCTGTGGGTCCCTGACCTGCTCGCAGCCTAGGTCTTGGCCCACTCCACTCAGATGGGCTGCCCCCCAGAAGTTCTGCTCTGTGGGAGGTCACGAGGATGAGGGTCAGAGGCTACTCCTGAACACTCAGTTCTGTCTAGAAACCACACAGGTAGACTTTCACACTCCCAGAGAGGTTTTGTGCGCTAACTAGAAACTTCAGCTGTGTGTGTGTGTGTGTGTGTGTGTGTGTGTGTGTGTGTGTGT